ATAAATATAATGTATACATTGTATTTCTTTAAAATTTTACATAGTCAACATCTTAGTGACTGTTCTAAATATGATTAGTTGGAGCAAATATCTAATCTACAGTTTGTTTATACTTTTCCACATGGTTTCCTTCCCTTATTTTACTTTTTTTTTTTTTTTGGTGTCCTTTCACAATCAGGCAAGATCAGGAGTCCATTTCATTAATAGCCTTGGCTGTAGGTTTGATATAGAGAGGAGAGGGAGTGAAATGGTTGATCTTAGTGAGGTTGGGGACATGATGCTTTTCATTCTCCATTACACAATCCAGTTTTATGTTCCTATCATCAACTAAGTTGATGACAAATTAGCATTTGTTGCTGCCAAAACAGATAGTTTCCCTTACGAATAAACGATTCTCTTAGGACATAAAATATTTTATGTGGCTTTGTAAAGTAATAAGATAAGCTAAATTTTTCTTCATCAGAAGATAATTGCTATAATGTAATGAAACTTTTACATTCAGGTTTTTCTCCCTATTTTTATCTTTCAGGGTTCTAACCATTTAGCTGTTCTTTTGGGTGACATTATTTTAGCAGTTATTGACTCCATTTTTATATGGTTCATATCCTTTACTATGTCCTTCCATAATAGTTTGTCATATCATTAAAATCAGATTACTTTTAATTTGTAATAATGATAGAATTATAGTTATATATTATTGATACCTCAATATAGAGTTTATGGGAGGAGATGAGGAGAGGAGAGTGGTCAGTAGTGGCCAGAGCTGCAGAGAGATGGCCTCACAAGACACGCCAGCTTTGGTCACCCCAGAGGTGGGAATGGCGGGGGGTTCTGAGAAGGCAAAGGGGCTGAAGCCACATTATAGCAGAAGTTTTAGAAGCAGTGGGAATGGGAGCCTCGAGGGTTGTCCTCTCTGATTTAGTGACTCAAGTCGAGTCTGGGAAATCCCCGTTTTTTTCCCTCCGTGGCAGCACTCGTGGAAATGGGAGGAATTCTAGAGAAAATATGACCTGGGTAGAGCGGAATGCAGTGTTATGTGTATCCCAGAACACATTGTTTTTATCTGTTTCTGTTACATTTATGTCCTCTTTGGAATACTTTCCTATTAG